ATTTAGGGGCCATCCCTTTAAGTCCTTATAGGGGCTGTTTAGGAAAAATTACAAGGATGCACATTGTTGAGACCATTATTCTAAACAACTTTTGTTCAATATTGCTTTTCAAAATGTTTCCCCTTTTCGAGATGTAAAGCGTCAAAGATTTAGCCTTCTGGCCCCTTGTGGCCCCTATTTATGTGACATATTATTTAAAAAGCATAATGTATAGTTGTAGTTTGTTAAGATAAATATTTTTGCTTCAGTAATGTATACCAAAATATTGCTTGTTTAAGAGTTATCGATTAAAGACTTTTGGCCCCTCTAGACCCCTAATGTGATGAGTCAGCGCTTTTTTCTTGATATCATGATACAGATCTTGTCATTTTGCACAAATTTTGTTCAATATGTTTTAACAAAATAATTATGCTTTAAAAGATATGACAGAAAATGTCTCAAAAATTCACTCATGATTCGTGTCCTAAATTTCGACCCTACCGAGCTTCCATACTAGGCACTTCCGGAAAATATCTAAACCCAGGTGCATAATGGCAAGATGTACTCTATCATCACTGAAAATTTCAGCGCTCTAGCTTAAGCCGTTTTTGAGTTCCATCGCAGACAAGGAGGTCCTCTGAATTTTGATAAAAGGGCGATAACTCCGGACCGGAAGTAAATATCACTTAACGAAACTGTCGGAATTAACTTCAGATGTCAACGCATTCACCATGAAAATTTGAATGTAATTGAAGCAGCCATCTCCGAGAAATCGTCTGTACAAAATTTGTAAGAAGAAAAAAGAATAAAAACTAGAAACTCTTGTTGCTAAAGCAACAAAGAAGGTCTTCCGTTCTCCTCTATTGATCTGCATGAATGAACTTTTATATATGTTAAAAAAGGCACATGATTTTTTTAATTGATTTCGGGAAAACAAACGACAGGAGGTGTAACTTACCAAGATTATTGATGTAAGTTTAAACTATTAAAGTCTCAATAACATTTACAAAAATCAGTTTTATTTTTTTAAATGTTTGACTAAGAAGATTCTATAAAGAAATGTTTCAATATTTGATTTATTCCATCACTTCGTGTGACAACCGGAAGTGACTGCGGAAAATGTTAACCAAAATGGATTTGCCTACTCATCAAGATCTACCAATCCTATAAGTTTGGTGTCTTAATTTCTTACCGTTTACGAGATGTAGCTATGATAACTTCTCATTTTGAGGACAGGAAATCAGGCAACCGGAAGTGAATATTTTAAAAAATATATTTGAAGTTTCTGTAGACATTTGCAGTCTGAATAACATATTCAAAAATATTTTATCTAAAAAAGTATTTATGGGAAAGAAATGTACTCAAATTACGTAGTTTTTCTCTTATATCCGGAAGTTTACGGTTTTTTTTACCGGTGGTACTGATACATCTTGAAACTACAAATAAGATGCTATAATGTGATGCAAAAAAAGTTTCAGAAGAGACAAGTTGTATTTTCACTTTGTTTGATCACTTCCTGTGACGACTGGAAGTGACGGCGGACAATCTTATCCCCGGTGGTTCTGCGTACTCATCAAGATCTAACAATTTTACAGGTTTTGTTTGTTAATCTCTTTCCGTTTACGAGATCTAGCCATGATAGCTTCTCATGTTGAGGACAGAAATTCACGCGATTGGAAGTCAATTTTGCAAAGATAACTGAAAGTATACAATCGAGGATGCTTGCATATAAATATGATTAATTCTTGTTTTGCTGTGCTTGAGAAGGTATTGCACATGTGAAACCTTTATCTTCCATTTTGGCCTGCCTTCTCTCAGGGGTAAAGCTTGTAAGAAATTTTAATCTATACTACCAGAGAATATCAAAGTCATCTTTGATGGTACAGAGGTTCTTTAGAAGAATTTTAAAATATGTATATGTCATTCATTTTTCAAGAAATTGTTGCAATATCAAGAAGATGAAACTAAAAAGTTTACATTTACAGCAACAGACAATCGATAAAAGCTCACTTGAGCTTTCTGCTGTGGTAAACTAAAAATGTAGTTATGGGAAAAGTGATGCCCAAAATCTAAAATGAAATGTAACTAAAAATAAATGCACAATTTAAATGAAATATTAAGAGTAAAATGTATGTAAACTAGTTCGCCTGTTAGTACTTGAATTGTGCATTTTCTAAAGTTTCAGTCAGAACATCAAATGAGAAGAGATATACAAATTTTGCATTCTTTTATTTCAGTAATGTCATTTCAATTTGACATTGAGCTATTCCAGGTAAAAAATGTAATATGGAAAGTTTAAAAGGCACTTTTAATTTTACCTAACCACTTGTATTGTTAATTGTTTTTCCCCCCAATCAGCATTACATTGAATTGGAAATTCTTTTGATATAGCACCATTCATCTAAATTCAAAATAAAAAAAATTGCGTTTTTTCTGCTACAGGTTGAATAGATAGCGCTCGTCAAAGTTAATGATACTCACTACAAAAATTGTACGATGTGATGTGTTTGAGATGGAACATTGTATGCTGTCTGTAAATTTCAAATGAAAGTAATTTGTATACTTTACTACCTAAAAAAATGTATTAAGTGCCTTCTAGCCCCCTCCCCCACAACCAACTACATTTTTTCTGGAATAGCTGGAACAATAATTATGTGTAAAAACAACAAAATAAGAACTGATAACATTCGTTCAAAAATCCTGTGAAAGGACTTTACCAAAAATGTTCACAATATAATAAAAAAAAAAGTTTCATAATGTGGTCAGGATATAGGCAAGTAATGATTTTTTCACACACATTAATAATGTTGCAAAAATAGGTTGCATTTGTGAAATAATAAGAATAAAATGTTAAACAGTATCGATGAGCACATTATACAATGTGGTTACCATTATCTTTTGGAACATCTTATCTCAAAGATGGATGTGTGTTGTATTTGACACAGTTTAAAAGAAATACAAGTCCATAGGACATAAATGTTGCATACAGGTTTCATTAAGGCTAAAAAAAAATTAATAGTTTCTCAGGCCCAAAAATTAAATGCATCAGGTAGGTTTTCTTTTAAGTTGTAATATGTATTCAACTTGAAATTATGTTATTCCAAATATTTCTTTGAATATTTATTCATAAAATATTGTGAATTTTGAAGATATATATCGTTTTCTAATAAATTATCTATCATTTAAGATAGAATTAATGAGGTGGGGAATAACTCAATGTTTTTTTTAAACCTGGAAAACTATAAAAGAAAAAAAAAAGAAAAAGATCATTGCGGTTGTTTTTGAAATGATATGGTGGTAGCCTTAGAAGCTATTGATTAATTTTTGTTGCACTAATAATGAGTAAATAAAGTGTTTTTGCTTGTAAAACTGAACTTGTGACAAATTTAAGAAAAGCATGTTTATGACCTATAGAAGTCAATTGGTCAAACAATATCTGTGCACTTGAAATATTTTACCCCTACACATTGGGAAATAGGGTTTCAAAATAATAGATCAATTTCTTCTGTTAAATTGTTTCGAATGCATAGACCAAACAATATGACCTCTAATCATATTTATAAAAAGTGAGGTATAAAAAAAATGCTTTCAAATTTGCCATAAAAACTTGAAAACTTGAAACCTGTTTACCAAGGTTACTTGATAATAAAAATCAATAAAAACATGTGCACTTCTGCAAGAAAAAGGTCAGCAATAAAGAAGTGGTGCGACCATGAGTGACATTGCTCACCTGTTAGTAATACATGTCACGGCCAAGAAGAAAGCAAAATGAAATCCAGTGTGGCTAAAACGTCCAAACATACAACTTAAGGGGGTGGGGGGTTATATGAATTAACTTGAATCTACACTAAATGACAATGGTTTAATATAGATGTTAATGTGTTGATGTGCTATGGGTTTTCTAAATAAAAGTTTGAAGCCTAGGAATTAAAATTTGAAAACATGTTGACAGAATTATGTGTGGATGTTTTCATAAAAAGATCACTAATCATGATTATGTTGTTGAGAAAACTTATAAAAAAAATCCTTTATTGTTATATGTAAAGCCTTGACTCAGCATTGTTTCCCCATTCTCCATCATTTGGTAATGTTGTAAACAAATTTGAATCTACAATACTTGGGCCAAAATAAAATTATACTTTGTTTGGTATTGAATATCTCAATAGATTCAACATTGAACTTGAGAGGCTAAGTCCCTTATGTTGAAATAAAAAAGATTGTTCAGATCCCAGTTAGAAAATTGCAAGGATAAGAAATGAAAAATATCTGACAGTATGACAACTCACAAGCTAGTCTTTGAAATGTAATGTTAAACAAGAGCAATGCTATGAAATACACTGATAAAATTGTTTAAAAAATGATTTTTTAAATAAAATAGAAGTTTGACGTTTAAGGTGAATTCTAATAAATGTTCAGATCTAACATCTGAATTAGATTGATATATGAGTACCATTCTGTGTAGTGCTATATATAATTTTTCAAAACAAAACAAAACATATCAATAAATAAAAGAAAGAAAATTATTGAAAATCTTTACTGTTCACCAAGATTTTTTAATCATTTAGCTTCAATTAAAAAAAAAAAAAAACCTCCCTCCCTCATGGGTCTGAAACCCCCCAGGTGGCAATTCTAAACAAACATTTCTTTAAGGATGGCGTTGTGTATGTTTTGATATGTATATTTCCAATGGCATGTTTTTGAAGCTGTTTCAGAAGGAAATATTTGTTTAATATATATTCGTTTATTAAATTTGATTGTCCACTGTTTAATTACCTTAACCCTTGGGGTCATGATTTATACAAATATAATAACACAACTTTTTTTTTTTTTTTTGTAAATATGAGCAATTTTGGCTTTGTTATTCTTGAGAGATTTTCAATTTTTTCCTATAAATATTTGTACTAAAAATATGATTTTCATTTGAAAAGCACCCTTTCATGAGGGGACATTTAATGATTTGAACTAATTAAATGACTACCTGAGGATGCATACATATAAGATGTCAAAGATCATGGATTTGTTGTCTTTAAGAAGATTTTTTAAAGTTTTTTCTTATATATTCGTATGTTAAACTTTGATCATATCTGGTGGCCTCAGGCTATATCTGGGGGTCATAATTTAAAAATCAAATTTTGTAATGTGCAATACTTGAAGATGTTTCCAGATTAGTTTTATATTTTCCCAACTCTGTGGTTCTTGATGAGGAGATTTACAAACATGCCACAAAATTTTAATTATGTCTTCATTATTTCCCTTTATAAGAGGTCATACATGGCCTTTCATATGAAGATAGTAGTTGAGTCTTCTGTGGTCAAGGATGCTTTGTGTTTAGTTTTATTGAAATTGGTCCAGTGGTTCTTGAAAAGAAGTTAAAAATATGAAATGTTTACAGACAGACGGACAGCTAGACAGACGACCAAATTATGATTAGAAAAGCTTATTTGAGCTTTGAATTATAGCTGAAATGAAATGGGCGTTGTTCAAATTGTTCAAAAGAAGTACTTTTCTTGAAAAGTTTAATCTCTCTTAGGTTTCTTTGCTGGGTTGATCTTCTCTCTGGAAAAATGAAGAATTATGAATGAAAATTAAAGTTGCATGAAAGTACTTTAAAAATATTGTGAAGATCTATTTCTTCAAGAGTTTCATTAAAAATGGATTAATAGTAAAAATGTTTTGATATACTTTATATTGATAGTATTTGCAATGTTGTAATATATAAATTTTTGACCTCATTGATAATACCGAAGAAATTTTTTTCCAAATAATTATATTTGTTGAAGAGGTACAATCTGTAATACTAGATATATTAAAAGTAAAAAGTTGAAATTTTGCATTATTGATAATGTTTGCAATTATTTTAATGAGAGATTTTGAGATCATGATTATATAATTATTTTAATGAGAGTTTTTGAGATCATGATTATATATATAGTTATATAAATAACTTTACAGTTCAACAATGGTAAATCCATGAGCGCTTCCTTTGATATGTATGTCTTGTTCGAACCCTCTGGGAAATATTCTTTCCAGTTCCGTTGTTTTTACTTTATAAGTTTTTGTGTCAATGATGAGATAGCTGAAGTCCCTAGATGAAAAAAAAGATGATCTTTGAGTCACTATGGCTAGTTTAAGAATTTTTTTTTCAAATTTCTTTATTTAAGGGTCCTCCACACCATGTGACCTGTGACGTATATAGAGAAAAAATACTTTTACTTCCGATTTTATTGAGAAAATACATGAACAAATTGTCCTTCCACTGTTTGTAAACAATAAACACATGGCATGATGATCACGGAGTGACCGATGAAAAGGATTGCGGTATTTTTTTTTTTCAATAAAAGAACAATAGACGTCTTGGATTATTATTATAAAGATAATAATTCCTAGACAACAGGTACCGATGTGTATGACGAGAAAAGTATAGGTTATTTACACTTTCAGGCTAATCAACCGAGTCTGTTTTTGATACTGTGTAGTTGAACATGTTGAAATTTCGGCACACTAATTTGTACGTTTCAATAATACATTATCTCATTGTGTGTTTATAAATATTGATAAAATAGTGTGCGTTTATAGTTTTTCTCTTTTATTTTTGTCCAGTTCAGTGGCTAGTATATTACTAAATTATAATAGTATGGTGACGTAAGCGGAGACTTGCCAAAGTTTTTGAGTCCCGAGCAACAGGAAAGATAACTCCAAAAAGGAACTTTGATACCAGAGATTTTGAAAATGTTTTTTCTACATCAGTGCATTTAATTTTAATTCAATTTTTTTATGTAATCTAATTCATTAATGTTTCTTCTCTTCAAAAGGAGTCCTTGTTGATTTTTCTCGTGATGTATTTCAAAGAAAAAGAGTTTTATGTACTTCTTATAAATAAAATAAATTTCTGTAAAAAATGTGTTGATCGATAAAATTGAGTTTTTATGGTTATTCTGTGAGCTTAAAAATATACGAAAGGGTAAGGCAAATTTTTTTTGCTAGGTATGAAAACGCCTCGGGAAAAATTTCTTGAAACTTGTGAAATAATTATTTTAAAAAATCAGTATAAATTATATCTTAATCCCTGGACAGTTTTTAAAGGTTGATATGTTTGTTAAAAGTAATGCTCAATAATATGCGAACATAAGCTGTGGGTGTGTGGAGGACCCTAAACTATAACAAATTAAGTTATTGTGGCCTTATTGTAAGCTCAGGTGTCCAATATCCACAAAGCTGCATTAATTTCTATTCGTAACCCAATGCCAAAACAAGACACGCTTGCAAAGAATTAAGCAAAACAAACTAGTTGTATGTACAACTATTAATTAGTTCTTGTAAAATGCATTTGTAAACTGGTTAGGGGAACCAGGTTAGTGTTATTATAGAAATATGTAACAGAAATGAGAGCAGAGTATCTTATGGAAATCGACAAAAACATCATTTTGATTTCAAAAATATGCATTTCATTTAAACAATTTAAAATTAGTAAGCTGCACCTATGACTTTAGCATAATATCAGTCTCATGCTGCATTGGTAAGTAATATGATGACCATGTGATCGAGGTAATTTGGGATCCTGTGACTAATATAATGATTGTTACTCAGAAAGACAAATAATCGCAATTTCAACTTTCAAAGATAGTTATGAGAAATTAAAGCTAATGTGCTTTCATAAAGAGCCTACATATACGCATGTTTATTCAAAACCAGAGTTAAACTGATGACAAAATATTAGAAGAAGCAAAATTTGTGGAATGTTTTTACTGAATGTTGGTCATTAAGCTTTGATTTGAAAAAACATTAAGCGGTGATTTGAACAAACTTGAATCTACACCAGCTGAGGATGCTTCTATGTAAATATGATGAATAATGACTATGCTATTCTAGACAAGATTTTAAAAAAACTTTTCCTATATTTCCTATATGAAACTTTGGTCGGCCATTTTGGGACCTTAGTTGCCAATTATCTTCATTTGATCAAACTTGAATTTCCTTCACCCAATGATACTTTGTGGCAATTTTGGTTGAAATTGGCCTAGTGATTCTTGAGAAAAAGTCGAAAATGTGAAAAGTTTACAGACGGACAGACAGACAGATGGACACTGGACAAAATGTGATCAGAAAACCTCACTTGAGCCTTCGGCTCAGGTGACCTAAAAATAATAGGATATGTGATCACAAAATGTCAAGTAATCTTTCAGCTGTAGTCAGTGAAGAAGAATAAAATTTAATGACTTACTCTCTAAAATCTACCCCTTCGACTTTTCCTTCGACTATGGTGTTCTCTTCGGATTCCTATGATAGAAAAATTGTTGTAATGATTTTTAATTAAAGCATTAAAGTGGAAAGTTCATGCAACTTAATCCTTTGCTTGAAAAGACTCACTTGAATGTATTTTTTTTCTTATAGATCTGCAAGTTTTACATTATTTTTTCTATTTGTAAAATAGACAGGAGCATGCATTTTCACTACAGTCAAACCTGATTTAAGAGATGACTTGTTTGAGAACAAGAAATTGGCTACACATGTGGCCACTTTTCAAGGTTTCAAAAGAATGAATAAACCAGAAGTGTGTGTTAAGTCTTTAGCTCAACTGGTATGTTATTAAAATAAAGGAAGAAAAAAATTATTAATTAAGCTCTTTCAAATGACATCAAGAGCAATGACTCTGTGACCTTGACCGATATACTAAAAATATTTTTTTTCTGTGAATTTAACTTTCACCTTTTCTTATGAACCATAAAAGATAGAGACTTTAAATTTGGTATGCATATGCCACTGATTAAGTCGTTTCATACAACACTACGGTCAATGACCTTGTGACCTTGACAGTGTCCTATATGCTAAAAATATCTGTTTTGAATCTTCAGCATAACTTTTGAACAATGAGAGATAGAGACTTCATATTTGGTATGCATATTTTACTAATCAAGTTCTTTTGAATGACATCAAGATCTGTGATCTTGTGCCCTTGACTATGGCCCATATGCTAAAAGTGTTTTTTTTTTTTTAAATTGTGTTGAAGATGGGTGAATAGTGTTTTCCAAACACATCTTGTTCAAGATTGCACTAATTTGAGTGGTTTTGGTTCCATCCTGCAGGCGACAGGGATCATGAAATTAACAATTTTTGTTTTACATGCATGCTTTATGCCAAATTTGGTTGAAATTGGTTTACTGGCTTCAGAAAAGAAGCTCAAAATGTTCAAACATTACTGTACGCTGACGGATGAAAATGGATAGGAATAGGTCACCTGAGTTTACTCAGGTGATGTAACTTTACTCAGGTGACCTAAAAATGTAAATGTTAAGAGAACAAGAATTTCAGTTCATACCTTTATGGAAGTAAGCAGGGTTGAATTTAGTGAAATTATATCTTTAAATGTTGCAACTTCTACGTTGCAGACAGTCACGACTTCATCATTCTGCGGCAGACACTTGTCGGCATGGTCTCCCCACAATTTACAAACTACTCGGGAAGTACCTTCCATCGACTCTATTGTTATCTCCTTCCTCTTACTATTGGGCGATTCTATGATCTGTGATGACTTGAACAAATACTTTGTATATTAGAAATATGTTATACAATTTAATTGTAAAAATATAAAATGTACGTGATCTTTGTACATTATTACTGTACATTATAATCATTATGATCATGTTTTCTAAAAAGAATGTTCACAAGTATCTATAACAAGAGGCCCATGGGCCACATCGCTCACCTGAGAAGCTTTGACCATTCTGTTCTTTACCGGATTTCCCTCTTGTTATACATAATGCATCCCCACCCTACCCCACTGATCATAATTTAGACATTTTGAAATTTATACTACCCAATGATCCTTCCATGGGCACATATGTTTGAGCTTTTTTTGCCCAGTGGTTCCTGAGAAGAAGATTTTCAAAGATCTTTCTTATATATTTCTACGTAAAACTTTGATTCCCTACAATGGCCCCGCCCTTCCCCCAGGGGTCATGATTCCTACAATTTAGAATTTACACTACCCCAGAATGCTTCCACATAAGTTTCACTTTTTCTGGCCCAGTGGTTCTTGAGAAGAAGATTTTCAAAGATTTTTCCTTTATATTTCAATATAAAACTTTGATTCCCCATTTTGGCCCCGCCCTTCCCCTGGGGGTCATTATTTCAACAATTTAGAATCAACATTATACCAGGATGCTTCCACATAAGTTTCAGCTTTCCTGGCCCAGCAGTTCTTGAGAAGAAGATTTTTAAAGATTTTTCCAATATATTTCCATGTAAAATTTTGATACCCAATTGTGGCCCTGCCCTTCCCCCGGGGGTCATGATGTGAACAATTAGGAATGTAAACTATACCAGGATGCTTCCACATAAGTTTCAGCTTTTCTGGCCCAGTGGTTCTAGAGAAGAAGATTTTCAAAGATTTTTCCTATATATTTCTATATAAAACTGATTCCCCATTGTGGGCCCGCCCTTCCCATGGGGGTCATGATGTGAATAATTTAGAATCTATAATATACCAGGATGCTTCCACATAAGTTTCAGCTTTTCTGGGCCAGTGTTTCTTGAGAAGATGATTTTTTAATGACCCAACCCTATTTTTGTCTTTCCTTGATTTTCTCCCCTTGCGAGGGGATATGTCCCTTCATTTTAACAATTTAAATTGCCCTTCACCCAAGGATGCTTTGTACCAAGTTTGGTCAAAATTGGCCCAGTGGTTCTTGAGGAGAAGTAAATGTGACAAGAGGCCCAGGGACCACAGTGCTCACCTGAGCACATTGGCTACGAAAAAGCACATATCAGATCAGAAATGAAAGTTTACTGGGGGGGGGGGATTGAATTTTAACCCCCCAGGGGTTCATGATTTGAACAAACTTGAATCTACACTACCTGAAGATGATTCCATATTAATATCACCAATCATAGGTTTGAAGTACTTGTAAAGATGATTTTAAAGGTTTCCCTATAAATCCCTATATAAACTTTGGTCGGCTATTTTTGCCCAACCCTAGCCCCGGGGGTCATGGTTTGAACAAACTTGAATCAACACTACCTGAGGATGATTCCACATGAGTTTCATTTTTCCTGGCCCAGCGGTTCTTGAGAAGAAGATTTTTAAAGATTTTTCCTATATATTCCTATGTAAAACTTGGGTCGGCCATTTTGGCCCCACCCTAGCCCAGGGGTCATGATTTGAACAAACTTGAATTTACACTACCTGAAGATGATTCCACATAAGTTTCATCTTTCCTGGCCCAGTGGTTCTTGAAAAGAAGATTTTTAAAGATTTTTCCTATATATTCCTATGTAAAACTTGAGTCGGCCATTTTGGCCCCACCCTAGCCCCGGGGGTCATGATTTGAACAAACTTGAATCTACACTACCTGAGGATGATTCCATGTGAGTTTCATCTTTCCTGGCTCAGTGGTTTTTGGGAAGAAGATTTTTTAAAAATGCCATTAATTTTTCTCTAATTCATAATTATCTCCCCTTGGAAAAGGGTGTGGCCCTTCATTTGAACAAACTTGAATCCCTTTTACCCAAGGATGCTTTGTGGCAAGTTTGGTTGAAATTGGCCCTGCGGTTCTTGAGAAGAAGTCTAAAATGTTAAAAGTTTACAGACAGACGGACAGAAGGACGCCAGACAAAATGTGATCAGAATAGCTCACTTGAGCCTTCAGCTCAGATGAGCTAAAAAGTATACAGACGGACAGACAACGGACAAATGTGATCAGAAAAGTTCACTTGAGCCTTATATAAAAGAAAGAAATAAATTTATGCTTACTTTTCGTAAAATACCTCTGACTGAAACCATTCTTTTTTGTGGTGATTGGAGAATTTCCTCGACTGTTTCTTGTGGTGGGTTGAGGTATGTGTCAATGACAGATTGGTTCATTTCGAATGGAGATGTTTCAAAAACCTTAAAACATGTCAATTTTGTTCAGATTTCAGCAATATTTAGTAGAGCAGGTGCTTTGTTAAGGTACTCAGATATTTCGATCTACTTGTCTAAATCTATTATGATACAACAAGAACTGTCCAAACTGGACAAAATACCCCCCGCTGGATTTTTTAGAAGTAATATTTTCCATAATAGATATGTATCAAACACAAATTATGAAATTTTTCTAACAGTGATCTTGAACTTCCCCAAATGACCTTGGGTCAAGGTCATGACACACAATTGGGTCATGGGCAATCTTTGTGTGAAATGAGAACCTACCATGTTTATCCATAAGAAAGATATGGATCAGACACGAATTATGAAATTTTTCTTCCAGTGACCTTGAACTTCCCCAAATGATCTTGGGTCAAGGTCATGACACAAAATAGGGTTTCATGGGCAATCTTTGTGTGAAATGAGAATTTACCAAGTTTATCCATAAGAAAGATATGTACCAGACACGAATTATGAAATTTTTCTTCCAGTGACCTTGAACTTGCCCAAATGACCTTGGGTCAAGGTCATGACACACCCTTGGGTCATGAGCAATCTTAGTGTGGAGTAGTAGATTGTAATGTCCCTCTAAGAAAAATATGGACCGGACACCATTGCACAGACAGACGGACAAGGTGATTCCTATATACCCCCCAAACTTTGTTTGTGGGGGTTATAATAAAATGTCTTGTAGTGACACAAATAAAGAAGATTAGGGTTGTTATCAAGTATTTAAAGGGGGGTGACTATAGTTTTATTGTGTGAAAACTACAATAGTGAAACTCTTTCTTTTTATATAATATATAGCTTGCATTAACTTTAGTGTACATGCAAAATTTGGGCATTTCAAAGCATTAATTTGTTTTCAGACCATGTAACTCCCACCTACCAACCCTTGACCCAGGAGGGGGGGGGGGCATAAAAAATAATCATTTTGCTAGATGCACCTTTCTTCATCATTAATATATATATACTTGGATCATTAGCATAAACCCAAAAGCAAAGGAAAATATTTTCTAAGAATTAATGTTTTTTTTACTGAATAATCAAAAGAGCCTTAACACCTGAACCCCTGATTCTTGGGCAATAAAAGTCACAATTTTTGAAAAGGAACTTTTGCTTATCATAACAATGTGCTTAATTAGTTTATTTAATACTCAGAAGCAGAGAAGATTTTCAAAGAATAAATGCATTTTCACTATATAATCAATAGAGCCCGCCTTTACACTAGAACCCTTGACCCTAGGGCCATAAAATTCACAAATCTGGAAGAGGCACTCTTTTTCATCATTACAGTGTACTTATTTAGTTTATTTAATACTCAGAAGCAGAGAAAAAGATTTTCAGAGAATAAATGCATTTTGACTATATAATTTATAGAGCCTCACCCTAACACCAGAACCCCTGACCCTGGGGCCATAAAATTCACAAATCTTGAAGAAACACTCTTTCTCATTTTAACTATGTTCTTAGCTAATTTATTTAAAACCCAGAAGCAAAGAAAGGATTTTCAAAGAATAAATGCATTTTCACTATATAATTTATAGAGCCTCGCCCTAACACCAGAACCCCTGACACCGGGGCCATAAAAATTCACAAATCTGGAAGAGGCACTCTTTCTCATTATAACCATGTACTTAGCTAATTTATTTAAAACCCAGAAGCAGAGAAGAAGATTTTCAAAGAATAAATGCATTTTCACTATATAATCTATAGAGCGCCGTCCTAACACCCCCTGACCCTGGGACTATAAAATTTACAATTTTGGAAAAGGCACTCTTGCTCATCATAACCATGTGCTCAATTATTTTATTTAATACTCAGAAACAGAGAAGAAGATTTTCAAAGAATAAATGCATTTTCATTATATATAATCTATAGAGCCCCACCCCAACACTAGAACCCCTGAACCTGGTGCCATAAAATTCAAAAATCTGGAAGAGGCACTCTTTTTCATCATAACTATGTACTTAGTTTATTTAAAACCAAGAAGCAGACAAGAAGATTTTCAAAGAATAAATGCATTTTCATTATATATAATCTATAGAGCCCCGCCCTAACACTAGAACCCTTAACCCTGGGGCCATAAAATTAACAAATCTGGATGAGGCACTCTTGCTCATCATAACTATGTATTCAGTTAGTTTATTTCAAACCCAGAAGCAGAGAAGAAGATTTTTAAAGAAAAAATGCATTTTCACTATATAATCTATAGAGCCGCGCCCTAACACTGGAACTCCTGACCCTAGGGCTATAAATTTACAATTTTGGAAAAGGCACTCTTGCTCATCATAACTTTATGCTTAATTATTTTAGTTTATTTAATACTCAGAAACAGAGAGGAAGATTTTAAAAGAATAAATGCATTTTCACTATATAATCTATATAGCGCCGCCCTAACACTAGAATCCCTGACCCAGGGGCCATTAAATTCACAAATCTGGAAGAGGCACTCTTGCTCATTATAACTATGTACCTAGTTAGTTTATTTAAAACCCAGAAGCTGAGAAGATTTTCAAAGAATAAATGCATTTTCATTACATATAATCTATAGAGCCCCACCCCAACACTAGAACCCCTGAACCTGGTGCCATAAAATTCACAAATCTGGAAGAGGCACTCTTTTTCATCATAACTATGTACTTAGTTTATTTAAAACCAAGAAGCAGACAAGAAGATTTTCAAAGAATAAATGCATTTTCATTATATATAATCTATAGAGCCCCGCCCTAACACTAGAACCCTTAACCCTGGGGCCATAAAATTAACAAATGTGGAAGAGGCATTCTTGCTCATCATAACTATCTAATACCCAGAAGCAGAGAAGATGATTTTCAAAGAAATAATGCATTTTCACTATATAATATATATAGTCCCGCCCTAGCACTAGAACCTCTGACCCTGGGGCCATAAATTTCACAATTTAGGTAGAGGACTCATTGCTTATTACATTCATGCTAACAGTTTGTCTGCTTGATGTCAGGGAGTAAAGAAGAAGATTTTTTAAGATTGCAATAATTTTAGTAGGTTTGGCCCCACCCCTCAGGCCCCAGGGGGACGGGGACCATGAAATTCACAATATTTGTTCCCCTTCATCCATAGATGCTGCATACCAAATTTGGTAGAAAATGGTTCAGTGGTATCAGAGAAGAAGCTGAAAATGTTCAAATGTTAACACACAACGATGGACGAAAACAGATGGCAATAGGTCATCCGAGTTACTCAGGTGACCTAAAAATTGCACAAGACATTAATTTTCAGTGGAATTTTCTTTCAGAAAGATTTTGATATATATGTTGAAAACTAATACTGACTCATTGTGCGACTTTTTGTCTGCTTTTCATAAAACTGAAACTTATTCCAAAATAGCTAAATATAGCAATATTTTATAGGTATATAAAGCTATATAGGTAGATATACCTATATAGCTAAATATAGTGATTTTCCTGGACCTGTTTATAGCATTTTATATATCCAGCAAGAGGCCAATGGGCCACATCGCTCACCTGAGTAACTTAGCTGATGCAGATCTTTTTGTTCTATATATATTTCTATGTAAAACTTGGATTCCCTATTGTGGCCCTGCCCTACCCCCGGGGTTCATGATTTTAACAAATTAATATCTACACTACCCAAGGATGCTTCCATATCAGTTTCAGCTTCCCTGGCCCAGTGTTTTCTAAGAAGATTTTTAAAGATTTGTTCTATATATTTCTATGTAAAACTTGGATTCCCTATTAAAGCCCCGCCCTACCCCCGGGGGTCATAATTTTAACAATTTAATATCTACACTACCTAAGGATGCTTCCACACAAGTTTCAGCTTTTCTGGCCCAGTGGTTCTTGAGGAGAAGATTTTTTAATGACCCCACCGTATTTTTGTATTTTCTTGATTATCTCCCGTTGGAAGGGGTCTTGGCCCTTGGTTTAAACCATTTAAATTTCCCTTCACCCAAGGATGATTTGCACCAAGTTTGATTAAAATTGGCCCAGTGGTTCTAGAGAAGAAGTTGAAAGTGTAAAAAGTTTACAGACAGACGGACAACGGTTGATCAGAAAAGCTCACCCGAGCTTTCAGCTCAGGTGAGCTAAAAATGAAAGTGGGCGACAGTGGGAGACAATTTTTAAAAGGAAAATTAGGAAAGAAACGTGCTTTTCTGCATTAAACTTAGAAACGTACCAAATGACGTCATATTTCCAGAAAGCCTCTCCTTTATTTCATATTCTTTAACGATTTATCATATTCATCTTCTCAACTATTGTTAATGTTAATTTCATAACTTTTTAAAAACAAAATTTTTAGGGGACAATAAAGCTTAAACTGTATCCCCTTGTGATAAAAGCAGGATTGAAGAACTTTGCAATGAAACATCTAGACGTGACCTGTAATATTGGCGACTTTAGTGTATGTCAACTGTAAACTGTAAGAGTAATAAATACCTCTTCCCTTCTCATCCCTCTTTCTGTCTTTCACAAGAAATAAAAGACCAAGATATTGGGGCCCTGAACTGTTGGTAGCATAAATGATAAGTAAAATTATAGGCATTTCTATCTTGGAATAAAGTGTAGAATGTTCTTACCTTTGAGGATTCTGTAAGGCGGACAGTGTCGCCGATGGCTGCTACATTAGAGCACAAATAATATTTTCCTTTTTGAAGGCTGTTTTCAAAGTGCTTCAGCTGTGGTAATGTAATTTGTTTGACGGATTTCTCAAGGTCTACATAGGCCATGGTGATTAGGAAAGAGCCCCGGTCGTTTTTCCGCCTAATCTTTTCTGTCAAAATGTAGACTTTTGTTCTTAGCATATTTCTGGCCATCATTCGTTTCACTGATCTGAGCGCGGGAATTAATCTGACGCTGCACGTGCGGCGGGAAAACCATTCGGGTCCTTCCGTCGGAGGTCGGTGAAACAACCTCTAACCTGGTCCACTGGCTCATCCTTACAGTGACGCGGAGTGTACGAAGCAAAATAGGGACAGGGAACCAGGCTAAACAACCTCGTGGTTTATCCGCTTGTCGGAAAGTACCGAAAAATTGTGAATTTTATAAGATGTAGTCAGCTGAGGCCATCCGAATGTTTGGAGATGAAAAGATTACGGACAAATAATAATAAAAAAAAAAATAATAAAAAAAGATGAAGAAATGATACATTTTAGTGTCAAGCTTTATAACATAATAATTATGTAAAAATAATTTTAAATACCTTATATATAATTATCTGTAAGCGATATGAATGTGAATTTCATAAATTAAATGGTCATAATATGCAGTTTTTCTCTGATAACCTTTGACAATTGGATATTTAGGGCCTAGTGGAGAGTTTTTTTTTATTAAAACAATCTTTTCCATTAAACATTGTGAATTTTAGTGAATGCGTTTAAATGACGGTACTGTTAACAATAACTTAAAAAGATAAATTGGGAAAGATATATATACTTTTTAAATGAAATACGTTATAAAAATATGTGAAAGAAATAAATTATTTATACCAAAGTAATTTTATAAAATACAATTTAAAGTGTGATTTTAAAATAACAGGATTAACACAAAAACGACGGGAGGTGTCTTTCCCTTTACTGTTTTTGACCATATCAAAAAAAAATATTTTACCCAAGGGGTGACACTGTTTATATACTGAAGTAACAAATGTGACAATTGACTATTGTCTTCATTAACATGCTATATATATGATTACAAACCCCTAAGTAAGTAAGTAAGTAAGTAAATTTTATTTAAAGTCGGCATTGTATACAATACATAACAAGAAACATGAGCTCTGTAGAGCTCTTAGACCGACTATCACAGTTAAAATATCACAAGAAAACATTTACAGCAT